ACACTCCGAACGGACGACAACGCAGGGCGTGAGGTTGCGCGTCACAGGTATGTGCGTTGACATAAAGGCCTCGATGCCATTATACTTCATAATGTCGAGCCCCTACTATACACGTTGAGGACCTCATTCATCGGCTGTAGGGATCTCACTAGAGTGTCCCAACTTCGGAAAAATTTCCCGCTCGTAATGTCGAGCCCCTTCCACACCAATTTTTGGGGCCTTCCACACCAATTTTTGGGGCCTCGCTCCACTGCTCACCAATTGCCCAAAATGAGAATGAATCTTCCACTAAAAAAAAAAAAAAAAAAAAAAAAAAAAGAAGAGGCCCTTCCACACATTGTCCACAGCCTCAATGCCATTACAGTTTGTGATGTCGGCCGCCCTACCACACATCGGTGACCTGAGTAAGGATTTTTCTGTCAAAAATTATTGGCCCTTACTACACATCGGGGACCTCAGTAAGGATTTTTCTGTCAAGAATTATGACCGGGGAAACTTGCCAAAGTCAGGACACTCAAAATCTTGGGCACTGCTGCCTCCCTCCCCCCCCCCCCCCCCCCTAATCCCCGTTTTCCCCTTGTCCGATGTGGTGGTTGTCTTAGGCCTGTCCTCCCCCCCCCCGGGCTGGTGGTGGGGGGTGTCCTCATGGCATATGCCAGTCAGAAGCTGAGTGGTATTTGTGTTGGGAACAAACTGGGCCTGGGCCAAGGCCAAGACTACCCCCCCCCGCCCCCGCCCCCCCCCCAAGGCTGGTGAGGGAGACTAAGTAGGTCGGTAAGGCTTGTATATTCCGGGCCACTGTGTTTTTGACCTCATATTGGATTGGGAGGTAACGGGTTCTTCTGGATGTTAAGCCCAAAGCACTCGTCACGAGTCAAATGCAGGACGCGGTTATGGTGCAGAGCTGCAGGGTCAGCCACCAAATAGTAAATAAACCTCCATGATAGGTCAAGGAGATAACGAGTAGAAACACAGAAGACACATGAAAGTGGTATGTGCTTGATTGAGGTTGCATCGGGCACTACATTCACACGTCCCCATACACATGCGCAATGACAAGCAGACGTGGAGAGAGAAAATCCACTCCAAACCAAACCAATGATGATGAGATGCACACAGCAGAAGCACACAATCCAAAAGTAGAATTGAAATGGATTCAATTCTGCAGAAATCGTTTCTTCCCAACTCAATCAACAGCAACCCTAATAAAGGGGATCTCAACTGTGTTCAACAACCCCAAAAGAATTAACACCAGAGTTTCAAAGAATTATCGGGAGTCTTTTTCTTCCTCGGAGTCCTTCCTCTGCCTGTCAAATGTTGGCTATGGCGCTCAGAATCTTCAGCGCCCAACCCCATGATGCCCGCAGATCACCAACCAACACACCAACCCCACCGAACACCAAATCAGCAGACCCACCTAAATCCCACCTACTAACAAAGTGCCCATCGAGGAGGGAAGCGCCAGCTTCCTGGATGAAGACGAAGGCTCAAATTCGATGGAGAAGATAATCTGCTGCCACGAAGAAGACAAGTGACAGCACCCTAAACCCGAAAAGCACAAGTATGGTGGAAGTGCGATCAGTGCTCGGATCCTTGTGTCCAGCGCTGCTTCACCGTAGCTCGATCGACCCCAGCTATGGCCACCAAGCTGATTGACCCCAGCTATGGCAACCAAGCTTCCCTCAAGAAGAGATGCTGCTGCGTCAAACACATATAGCGCAGCTGCGCTCGCCAGGCCGCTCCACCAATTCACCACCACCCAAATCGAGACTAAAAGAACCCGTCTGAAATTGCCGTCCAGCCCTCCAGCGATTAACAGACACGGACCGTAAACTACTGCAGTGACGGGCCTTGGACACCAACCAACCGGGCCTACCGGACGGGCAGTAGTACCAGCCCAGGCAGTAGTGGAACTGAGGGCCTGGGACTCTTGAGTTTTTCCACAAATGTCTCACGGAGGGACTACCCCCGCCTGTGGGGGTTACGGCCAAGTGCCCAAGTCTGAAAACAAAATTTTAAGAGTAGCCCTAATAGTGTTACGGCTCGCTGGGAATCTTCAAGTTCATCGTTGGGAGTTTTATGTTCCGGAAAAAAAAAAAAGGAAAAGAAAAAACGAAAAAGCTCCAGGGTCGGGAAAACCAATGGGTCCGACAACATGGGTTCAGGTCCCAGTGGGAGTTCCACAAAAGAAGAAGAAAAATAAGATGAGAAGTGAAATGAACAGTTAGAGGAGGAGGAGGAGGAGGAGGAGAATGTCCTTCAGGGGGCATTGGTTAAAATTGGAATGATACAGAGAGGGGTAATTAGCCTGGCCACTGCGCAAGGAGGACAGCACAAATCAAGAAATGATCCAAAATTTTAAAAATGAACAAAAAATAAAAAATCAAAAGAAGAGAAGAAGAAGAACTTCCCAGTCATCATTATTTTTCTCTGAGTCTCTGACACTTCTCTTCTTTTTCCTTTTCTTTTTCTTAAAAGGGAGTAGCCCCTGACATTACTGTATCCACTTTGGGATTTGAGCTCATGATCTGTTCATCAACAGTTAGTTAGATGTGCATAGTAGCATATACCATTCAGCCACACAGGCTTGGTTCTCTGGCACCATTTTCCAATCCTTCCCCCTAACAAATTCTGCTTTCATTGTCTCAAATTAGGGCTTCAGACACCTGCCATCTGGTTGCAAATGATTCGAGGGGGCTGGGTGCCACGGATTTTTGTCAAAGGATTTTTGCAAGCTTACGGTACTGTCCCTTACTAGTCACGTTGCGTAGGCTGAAGGCCTGTCCTAGCCGGATGCTCCCATTACTGCCTCCCATTACTGCGACTGCACTGATGCCATCCGATCTGCTACGGCCCCTCAGATGCCAGTGTCGGGGCTGGACAAGTTTCCAAAGAGCGACCAAATCTGTGGGCAGTGGAGCCTCACAGATCATTACGAATTCAGCGCCGTACTTGAACCAAACCACCAGTACTTGGCCCAGCTATCGATGCCGAGCCTGAAAACGGGCTGCGCGTCGTTTGGCCGCCCACCCGCCAGAGCAACAAATAAAACTTGTTTTGGCTGGCGGCGCCAGCCTTTGAGGCTCGGTACCCCGAGCCTCCGGAAGTTGTGGGGCGCCAGGGCAACAAATAAAACTTGTTTTGGCTGGCGGCGCCAGCCTTTGAGGCTCGGTACCCCGAGCCTCCGGAAGGTGTGGGTCGTTAACCGCAACGCCCCGCGGCCGATGTATGGGCCAAGTAAGTACTGGAGGTTTAATTTAAAACCGCCAGTACCTTTCCCAGCCAGTACCTTTCCCAGCTATGGGCCGCAGGCTCGGCGGGGACATCTGGTCGCCTCCGGAGGCAGAGTGGGGCCCTTTTGGCTGGGAAAGGTACTGGTGGTTTAAGGGGAAGGGGAAACTCTCCGAAGAACGCCTGTGGAGCACGAGCCTTAGGCCCTTTTCCTCATTTTAGTCCTCTCAAACCTACAGAGCTTACGTGAACCATCAGGGCTGGAGGCCACCTCCGCCCCCACCCTGTGCTGCCACTGGGATGGCAAAGGGTGCAGGGCCTCCTTAGTACCCAGTCGCGATTTCACCCAAGAAGAACAGAACACGCCATTTTTGTTTTGATGGGAGGATGGACGCAAAGACTATGTAACGGCCACATGGCTGCATCTGCTCTCTTCGCTGAAACCTACTGGAGCCGACTGTCGCTGTTCTAGACCACGCCCCATCCACGACCTGCAAATGACCCCGAGAGCATGACGGCCTTTTATTGATTGAGAGTTAGGCGGCAATCATCACACAACCGGATAAGAGCGAGGGTGACGAAAACAAGCCATTTCTTGACCTGAACGACTTTCTTTTTTTTTTCGGAAGGCAATTTTTTCTTTTTTTCTTTTTTTTTCGGAAGGCAATTTTGAAGTCTCCCATCGAAGAATACGTATAGAACAGGGGTCAGGTCCCACTAGCAGCGTTGATTTTCCTCAACGCCGTAATCTGGTCGCGTTTGTGGAGATGTGCAGAAACGGCGTTGAGTTTTCTCAACCGCACATCTCCACAAAGACGTCCAGATTGAGGAAACTCAACGCTGCTACAGTAGTGGGACTTGGCCCCAGGGAGCAGGCAGGCCGGTACGTTGAACGTACGTTGAAATAGTAACAGTGACCAGGGCCGAGGTCCCACTAGCAAAAAGGATTGGAATAGCTCCTGTGACCAGGGCCGAGGTCCCACTAGCAAAAACGATTGGATCAAGCTCCTGAATCTGGATGTGTTTCAAGCAGAGATGCAGAAAAGCAGTTCAATCTCGATTTCCTGCACATCTCCATAACCTCGTCCAGATTCAGGTATTCTATCCGATCCTCTTTGCTAGTGGGATCATGCCGCAGGTACATGGGCGAAGAAGACGTACGCAGGCCGCCACCACTTGGGGAGGGTGGCTGCGGCACGGGCGGGCCAGTACATCCAAGGCCCTACCGCCTTCCCCCGAACATAACCCACCCTAAAAATGAATGCATACAAGCTGTATTTCCGGCCAGATACAGCCAAAATAAGGGTGCGTTGTGTTCGGGGGTGCACACAGCCACCGGGACCTTGAATGCAGCTACTACTATTTTTGGCTGGCTGGGTCCTTTCCCGCTGGCTTAGGGCGAGATGCCGTTGGCATTGCAAAAAACGATTGGAAATAAGTGTCTGAATGTGGTCGTGTTTGTGGATGGGTGCAAGAAACTGTAATTGCTCTGCTTTTCTGCATCTCTGCGTGGAGCATGTCCTAGTTCAGACACACTCACTTATTCCAATCCTCTTTGCCAGAGGGGTCTGGCCCTTAGTTTATTCACTTTTTATTCTACGGCCTTTTCAGCCATCGAGGGTGGGTCATGTTTGTCTACCGTTGCGCGTGCCTGCTCGTTTCGCCATTTTCCGCTGCCCTGTTGCTGTGTGTCGCATCTCTCTCTCTCTCTCTCTCTCTCTCCTCTCTCTCTCTCTCTCTGTGTGCTGCGGTCGCTGCTCTGGCCGTAGAACTTCTCGCTGGCTACCATAGCTCAACCCAGCGCCATCACGATGGATGGCATGATGTTGCCGACCGTCCGTCCGCCGTTGTTCGCCGTAGATCCACGGCGGAAGCCGCTCCACGATCTCATCATCAAGATCGCAGTGTTGGTGATGGCGCTCGGTGGCGCCCTTTTGTTATTATCCTTTATACAAGAAAGGAAGACCGAGGGTATCCGTAAGAGCCACGAAAAAATGGGCGATATGAAGGACGCGTCATTGCCTTACGCCGGGGCGGGATACCCAATCTCTCATCAGGGTCAGGGCGCGGAAGAAGGCGACGGTCTCGACGGTGGGGATAGCGGCCCGTATCCCGACCCTACCCTCGTTGTACTCGAGGAGGTCAAGTACGCGGGATCCGGATGCGGACCTGGCGCTGTGAAAGGGGTCTTGTCGAAAGACGCAAAATCTCTCTCTCCCATCCCGGACGATAGCGATGTGAAGATCATTGCCAAGTCGGGACCCGGCGCTTCTCTCTCCGACTCACGGAAGAACTGTCATTACAGCGTAGTCATGACTTACCCTGCTGGATGGAGCTATGCCCTCGCCTCTGCGGAGTTGGAGGGGTCGATCGACCTAGATGGTGGGGCGACCGGGATTGAGGACGTGTACTACTACTTTCAGGGTGTAGGGAAGAACTGTGCCGTTCCGGAGATCTCAATCGACGGTCCTAAGAAGGAGAGGTTCCAGACGGGCAATAGGACTTTCGAGGAGCCGCTTTGTTGGTCTCCGTGCAGCAACGAGAGGAGCCTTCAGATCAACGTGGCCGCACGTGTGCGAGGGCGTGGGGTTCGGGGCGTGCTGTCCATCGAGAAGCAGAAGTTCTTCTTGAAGTGGAGACAGTGCTCCGCCCGATGATGATGAGACTGCTGGTTAAGGGAGCAGCGGATCGCGAAGCTCTCATCATTTTGTTGCTATGCCTTGATTTGATAGGGAGTGCGTTTCGACCTTGTCGCCGAGGATTGAGCGGCGATATGAGTGTGGGAATCTACCAAACAGTTTGGGAAAAATCTCAAACAGTCGTGCATCAATCAAAGGCTCGATCGGTTCCTTTTTTTAAGGAGAATATTGCGCTGCGCGCCATTCTTCCGCACTTCCTCCTCGTACGGACACTTCCTCCTCGTACGGTTTGTAAGACGATCGACGGTTCAATTCTCTTTGCCTCCTGTTTGTGTTAAATCAGGGGTGTGCGTATATCGTCGGGATACGAAAGCGGCGGTCGGCTGTAGAAGGGAAATGAAAATGAACGACATGAAAAAAATGGAATATATGATTAGGGAGTCCGACCGACTTGTAGAGACTCTGAGGCGTTTTCTTATTTCTTACTGTATTTCGTTTCTTTTTTCTGAAGTGTTTCCGCAGTCTCCGATGATTTTCACACAGTGTCACACAGTTTCACACAGTGTCACACAGTGTCACATAGTTTCTAATTGACGCCGCACAGTTTCACACAGTGTCACACAGTGTCAAATTGACGCCGCGTTCGAAATCCGTTCGTGCACGTGACGTGCGTGTGCCGCCATTCATTTATTATCGCTTATCGCTTTTTTCGTGCCGAGGCGTGGGGCGGGCACGAAAAAAGACGACCAAGCGGCAGAGGTCTCGGAGAGAGGCGTACAACCTGAGGGTACTAGATGATGTGTTCAGTGGAAAAACCGCCTGATGCGGCGAGCTTCAAAATGGTTCCTTTAAAAAAAAAAAAAAAAAAAAAAAGGTTCCTGCTACCCAGTGTTTTTCTGTTTGCCTTTTCTCGTCTTTTTTTTTTTTTTTTTTTTTTTTTTAATCTCCGCGGACTGTAGGAGTGGCAGGCACGCATTTCCTTCCCCCCCCCTCCTCCTCCTCTCACCCCCCCCTTTGCGACTACTGCTTTTCGATCTCGAGGTCCAGCAGGTACCTCAGGAGTGTCCTTGTCAATCGGTCAGGGAAGTGATGGTGTGCTGGGGTTGATCCGACGGTGGTGCTGGGTTTGATCCAACGGTGTCAGAGTCGGTTTGACTGCGCGAGGATCTTGTTTGTCGAATGAGGCTTTTCCGTTGCCTGCCGAGCAAGAGATGCGGCAGAAGTGAAGTGAATTGGATGCCGATGGAGATCTGGAATCAAATGAGGCGCGGGCGGTGCTCTGGAAGAAATAGTGGTAAAGCGTGCAACGCGTCGCGTCATTGGGTGGGTGAGATGAGGTTGTGAGGGAAGGGAGGAAGAAGGACGCGTTTGTGTGATCGGCGGGGGATCGTAATAGATCGGAGAAGGACTCATTGAGGACTCATTGAGGACTCATAGGACTCATAGAAGACGCATAGGAGTCGTCGAGTCGTCGTCGGAACGGAGGAAGGATGCTTTATGAAGTGGTCGTGATATGTCTGACGGAATGGCGATCGGGTTGATATGATCGTGGTAGAGGGAAGTCAGTGATACTTGTACAGCCATTATTATTATTGGAAGGGGGGAGCTCATGTTTTGAGGGCTATACTATGAACTTGGACGAAAAGAAAAGAAAAGAAAAGAAAAGGAAAAAGAGCCTCTTTATCTTTTTTTTCTTTTTTTTTTCTTTTCTTTTCTTTTCGTGCAAATGTTATAAGAATAGCGGAATATATATATTTGTCAGACAAGGAAATAAAAAGGACTTATATACGATATATGACGATATATAACTCCGACGAAACAGTTTGTCACAGCCCCTCGTTTGTTGTCCTCTTCTCTCTCTCTGCCTACGGTTTACCGGGCAGTTCTATTTGTGACGATATATATATATATATATCTCTGCCTACGGTTTACCGGGCAGTTCTATTTGTGACGATATATATATATATATATTTTCTGACTTGTCAGAATTTGATGATGGGAAAGTGATTTTCTTTTCTGAACGAAAGCTTTGTTTTCCTGCCTCCAGTGTTTTTGTTTTTTTGTGCCTAAAATTTGAAGTCCACCCATGGTCAAGAAAAATAAGAAAAGGACCAAAATGTCCATGTCCATCGATAGAAATAGAAAAGGGGAAAAAAGTTCATGTGTAGACACGGATGCACACTTTTTTTTTTTTTTTTTTTTTTTTTTTTTCGGATGCACACTTTCTTGTCCATACAAAAGAGGATCTCCCAACGTAGCCACTGATGCAAGGGGATCGCTCATCACTCATTGCGTTGGGAATTCAGTCTTCCTTGTCTACAGGGCCGAGGTCCCAGTAGCAAAAAGGATAGGATCGAGCTCCTGAATCTGGATGTGTTTTATGCAGAGATGCAGAAAAGCAGTTCAATCTCGATTTCCTGCACTTCTCCATAAACTCGTCCAGATTCAGGCATTCGATCCGATCCTGTTTGCTAGTGGGACCACGCCCCAGGGACTACTGACTCATCATTGCGTTGGGAATTCAGTTTTCCTTGTCTACAGGGACTACTGACTCACATAGGTCACACTTTTTGCACACTTTCATTTCTGACTAAAAGTTAGAAAAAAATAAATAAATTGAAAACGGAAAGAAAAACAGCATGCACTACGGTAGTCCGTCGTGGCCACAGTATTTTTTTTTTTTTTTTTTTTTTAATTTAGATCATTTCTCAATTTATGTTTGTCATCCTTGCGCAGGGGCCCAATGTTAATCTTCTCTTTCTCTGTATCGTTCCAATTTTAACGGAGTCCCTTTCGAAAGGGACTTCAAGAAACTTTAGGCACACTCCAAAACCTTTTGGCTTGTCATCTGGTTGTGCAGGGTCATCTGTTTTTTTTTTGTTTTTTTTTTTTTTTTTTTTTTTCCCCTTCTTCTGAGAAGATATTATACACCAAAAGTCCTGTGGCGTGCATTGGCAACTCGGCCTTGTGGAGGCCATTTTGTTTGGTCCATTCACCCTCATCCTCTCATCCAGGAAGATTGCAGAGTGATCTTTTTTTTTTTTTTTTTGAGAAAATATCAAATACGGATGAGGGTGAATCTGTTGTTGGCTGTTGGACAGAAAAAAAAAAAAAAAACGCAAAGCACCTAGCACCAAATTGGGCATCTGTACAACCTTTGTTTGCCCACTTTTTTGCGAAGTGATAGAGAGGAGACTGAGCAAAGCACCTGCTGCTGTCTGGTAATCATTACTAGTTGTCCTCCTCTGTTTGAAAACCATCATTTGCACCCTCCTGCCCCTCCTTCCAGTGCCAGTTTTGTCCCTCCTCTCCTACCCTCCCTCTCCCCCTTCCCCCGCCGCCCTCGGAGGTGGAAATCTCACCACCTCAGACGCCATTAGAGGGACCCTATTTTCTCAAGCCGACACTTTTGACTCCTGAATGAATCGAACCACAACCAGGCCGGTACGTCGAAAGCGCAGCCTGCTTGTATATGGGTGCAACTTCCTGCTGAGGTCCCTTCTGCTCCCAGTTTTTAGTGATTATCGCTCCTCACCACCCTACCTTCTTCCCCCGAATACAACGTACGGTCATTATAGCTGTATTAGGGGTATGTTCCAGTCTAAATAAAGCTATAATGACGGTACGTTGTATTCGGGGGAAGAAGGTAGCCGCTACAGAGGCATAGTAGCGAACCGTGTAATTTGGGGCACACTGTGCGTTTTTTAACATATTTAAGACCCCAGAAGATAGATTCCTCCTCCTCCTCCTCCTCCTTCTCCTCCTCTCCCTCTCCTCCTCCTCGTCCTCTTTCTCCTCCTCCTCTCCTCCTCCTCTCCTCTTCCTACTCTTGCACCTCCTCCTTCCCCTCCCCTTCCCCCTCCTTATCCTCCTCCCCTGCTCCTCTGCTCCCTGAACACATTGCTTTTATTTAACACTGAGACGAGTGATCTGTCTGTGTGTCTGAGTAGCGCTCTGCGCTGCCGCTATTATTATTATTATTATTATTTTTATTGTAAAATTTATGCTCCAGTGTCGTGGTCTATTGCTGCCCGCCAGCTGTGGTCTTGGACACTCGAGCAATAACCATCGGCTAGAAAGACACTCTGGCAGAGAGGAGCAAATGACGGCTCACTTCCAAATCATGGCTCTTGCAGCGTAATGCTGGCTTCAACAGCCCCTCTCAGTCAGTCAAATGGTAATTTGAGGCAGCACTTGCATTAGCTATTTTATTAGCTATATATAGAAATAGGTGGTCTATACATATATATGTTTGTGATGATATATATATATAGCCCCTCGTTTGTTGTCCTCTTCTCTCTCTCTGCCTAAGGTTTTACCGGGCAGTTCTGTTTGTGACGATATATATAGTAATATACGAAAATAAACAACTTGAAGTTAGAAAAACCAATTACTCCAATTCATGGCTGTATTCTAAATTTCTGATCGATCGATAAAGGCTAAATGTATGGCTGTGATTTGACTGCCATTTAGTCTGATTTAGATGTGTGCGATTAGGTTGAATTTTGAAAGGATTGGCAGGTAATTGCGAAGAGGGTGGTAAAAAAAGAAGATCGTCCTGATACATTTTCTTCAGAAAAAAGAGAGGAAAAAAGTCGGAGAAAGAAAAAAAAAAACTGAAAAAGGGTGGTCTGTGCAGGTGGTGGTGATTATTGTGTGGGGGGTTTCCATTTATTTATAATAGTTTAATTAATAATAATATGAATACGGTAATACGGTACTAATACCCCTTTGGGCATTTGGCGTTGACGTTCTTGGTCGCAAAATTTTGGCATTTTTAAAACCGAAATCATCAGGTCACCTTGCCGATCTCAGTTCCAAAAACGCCGAAATTGCGGCCAGGAACGTCGACGTTAAATGCCCAAAGGGGTAAGTTAATAACGACCTGACTCTTCTGCTGCCCCTCCTTTGTGCATCATCCCTGCTGTACTCGACAGGCTCCATGTACGCCTCTCTCTCTCTCTCTCTCTCTCTCTCTCTCTCTCTCTCTCTCTCTCTCTCTCTCTCTCTCTCTCTCTCTCTCTCTCTCCCCTTTTG